CCAGTCATTTCATTGGCTGACACGACGCACGCGCGACTGCCTCGTGAAGCCTCGAAGCAGTTATCGTCTCGCTCAGCGTTGTACCGGTTTTATCAGTTGATTGCAGAATTTTAACATTTGATTGCAGAATCTGAACAATGGGGCGCATTGTATCTACATATAATCAAAGAATACCTAGAAATATAAAAAACTATAGATATCGATAAGTTAAAAATTCTGCAATCAAAAGTTAGGTATCTGCATTCAAATGATAGAAATCTACAATCCATTGTTCAGATTCCGCAATCAAATGTTAAAATTCTGCAATCAACTGATAAAACCGGTACAACGCTGAGCGAGACGATAACTGCTTCGAGGCTTCACGAGGCAGTCGCGCGTGCGTCGTGTCAGCCAATGAAATGACTGAAATAGACGGTGTGAAACGTTTTGGCATGCGCGTGATCCTACGCCAACCAATGTTTTAATTGTGGCAAGTCGAAATTGTCTGTTATACTTCAGATTTTGAATCCGATTTTTTTTTCGAATTTACTCAGCCCTTCTTGTAATGGATAAATGATTAAAGAAGTCAGTTGAAGTTGATGACAATGAGTCTTCAGTGAATCAAAACGAAGAAAAGTCAGGTCAGTCAAAACGAAGAAAAGTGGTGAGAAAGTATGATTCCAAGTACTTAGAAATGGGATAAATAATATTTTTTATATTCTTTCATATGTTTTTGCCCAGTAAATTTGAGTGGGTCGCCATAAGCTGTTGTCATGAATAGTGGGTCGCGATTCTAAAAAGTTTGGGAACCTCTGCTCCAGAGTCTAGACCTAACGATAGCTAGGCCTACTTCTGTTGAGGGTAAAGTAGCACTAATATCAGCTATGCTTATTCGTTGTATAACAAATGATAAAACTTACTCTGGTGTTATCAAAACTGTTTTTACTGGTAACATCGTACAGCAACAGTAAGGCTGAAATAGAAAATAGCCCATTTTATAGTTATACAAAGTAGCTTAAACAAAGATGAAACGTGTAATAACGAAACTCGAACATTAATATCTCAACGTTCAACGAAAGCAATAAATCATTATAGTTTTTAATTCATTTCTTATCACTATATCGTTCGTTCGCTTAAAACAAGATTTAAAAGTTAGATTGACATTGATGAAATTTAAATACCATTTTATGAATCGTTTACTGTAACAATAGATTAACACATTTTACAACTATTCAGATAGCAGTTAAGTTAGTAATAAGGTACTGAGTAAGGGTTGTTATGGAAGATGTGAGAAGAGAAACTTTGGCACGACTAAATAAAAACATAAACTAGAAAAAAGTTTTCATTCAGACGTGTCAATTTATTCTTTATCTAATTTGGATTGGGTTAGCAGCTAGTTTTTAACAATTAGTTTAGAAGCACCTTTACCAATAAGTAAACATTAAATTTAATAATAAGTTTAGAAAGGATGATGGCTAAACATCATTATAGGAGTATGATTTATTGCTCATGTCTACAATATGGAGATGCCGATGGATTGCCTCACCAGTGGTGAGACTGTGTTTGTTCCTTGAATATTATGTGAGATTTAAAACAATGTCTGCCAGAACAATGACAAACCACACAATAGGATATTCCATCAGTGTATGCTACAATTAACCCTTTGAGATCTCCGGAAAGAGCAAATTAAAGACCCAGATCCAGCACGGGTGCTTCTTACTATGCATCAAGGTAAAGACTGACTTGCTCAGAATAAAGAATGTATTTAATTTATGGTATTAATGTGCTTCACCGAAGTTACAACCACCATACCATGGCTCTCAGCTTGTGTTGCAGCTAGTGGTCTCCAAAGCTTTGAGGCACGAGATTCTCTAGAGTCTACAGAACACAAAGAGAGGAGAGTACCAAGTTGTTATTGACACTTGTGCTAATGCTCTGTGGTGGTTTTATTAGCCACATTCAATTTGAGGCATTCAGTACTGGTGTCGACACTGTACACTATGTGCCAAACAGTAAAATAGTTAGTCTAAAGAGGGTAAACTTCTGCTGATAATTGTTCCACAGATAAGAGCCCTGGATATCACTGGTGCATTTGCAGAGATAGAATGAGGTTACCTTTATATATTTATGGCCATCAACTACTTCATGAAGTGAAACAAGGCTTATCAATTGGTTGATATGTTAGAACAGTCCAGTTTTGTAGCACCAGAACAGATCTACGTGAATCTGGGAGCTAATTTCGTCTGCCAGTTGCTCAATGAATTGTGTAAGTTGTTGAATGTGACAAAGACGTGCAGCCTGATGATTTGGTATAGTGGGTAATACAGATTGTCAAGCATATACATGCTAAGTTTGTTAATCTCGACTGAGCTGACTGGAAGAACATTATCATAAGTTGTGTTGCATACCATGTAACTGCGAAGACATCAACAGGTTGTTTCTCAAACACACTAATGTTTGAGTTAGAAGGCTTGCTCCCTGTAGACGTGATGTATGGTCCTCCCCTGAAAACATATGTCCTACAATGACCACAAGAACATTTGAATTGATTAAACTCTGTGTTTTGATATGCACAAATTTACATGACACCAGCAAAGGAAGGCTGCCATAGGATAGAAGAGGTGTTATGATAAGACTATGAGAGAATGAATGTATCAGTGTGTAAACTAGATGTGACACATGCCAGAAGCAAGGAAGTACTTCAGCTCTAGCTAGATAGGACCTAACATTCTGCTCTGACAAGTCGATTCTTTGACATATGAATTACAGCAATTAAGAGGTGTGCAAGAGTGCATAGTACACACGAACCAGCTAAGTTCATATGTTACTGACAAACTTCTTGTAAACTGGCTTGACCAGTAATAAGAGAAAGATACCAACAAGTCATAGGATGAGAACTCTGTTTAAGCCTACTCTGACCGAGGATGTGAGGATGAAAACTTAAGAGTACTTACCTGGCCAGATGAAGGAGTACTGAATCTAGAGGTGAGAGACAACTTTGAAAGTTGTTTGAGCTACTGCAACAGCTTCCATAGCTGGGATTTAAACACAATCATTCAGTAACTAGAATGGTCATTTGGTCAAAAAACCACTGACTAAACGAAAGTAGTGTTATTTTCGTTAGAAACTTTCAAGTGGTATTGTAAGATAAAATATATGCAACAAATTGTACAACTACCACTCGATTCCTGTAGTTAGGAAGGTTTATTAATAGAGAAATCAGCTGGACTTAAAGGACTTTGTGACACTTACTTTCTGAGCTATTAAATCAGAATTTCACTACAAGAGATATACATACAGTATCGGATAATAATAGCTTCTCGAATGATACTGTTTAGGATGGCTGGTGACAATAGATATAGTACGTAGCACATCAATAGTTTGTTCAACTGAAGATGATGGCTAGGAGTTAGAAAACTGAGTTGAAAGGGCATTGCAACCTTTGCTTTCTGAACTATCGAGTAATTTTCTAGACCAATATGCTGTCCGATGTTTTGCAAGAATCACTCAACTGATTTAGCCAAGTGAAAGGAATTGTACAGAACATATTGCATGGTCCTCACTACGTCTTTCTCCATACACCTAAAGAGCACAATTTATCAACGTGCAGTGAGGAAGTTGAGCTTTATGTGAGTGTATATTACAATATACTGTTTTATCAACAGAAATATTAATACTGACTTTGAATAACTTTACTGATAAGTTTAGCTGAATTCTGCAAACGATTATTCATTTTGTAATGTCTGAAAAGAAAAACGAGTTGAGTTTGATAGCTCCTAGATGGCAGCACATTACTGTCTGATTGCTATTGAGATATAGTCTGCGTGATGTAACCCGAAAATGTTACCGAAGAAATTTGTGCGAGAGTTCTGGCAATTTGTTTTAAGCTACTAGCATTTGTAACAATATGTAATGATCATATATGTATATGGCAATATATATGTATAAATAAATAAACATCTACGAAGTCATTTGTGTTGTATAACATAAATGGATCAATTACACAAATAACACAACTATAAAGCAACTTATAAATAGAAAAGGGATTTTATCTAGAAGTTAAGAGATGATATGAGATTAATAGTGATTAATGACCTGTAAGATATTATTTGAAGACGCGGTGTATCTGCAATTTTCATCAATATTAGTAAGAACATGTTTCAATTTCTACATTGTAGTATTAGACAGGAAGTGAATTTTCATAGAAGGATACGAGTAATGAAGAGACTCACATTACGTCTGGTAAATAAGACTATTTGTTCAGACGAAATCAAATTTGATGATGAGAAATCTACTTTGAGACAATAAAATTTGAATATGGCTTGAGTGGTAAATAAAGTTTTCTTCTTTACCCGTTCAACCCATCTTCAGATTTTACAGTTTGACCTGATATCTTTCTGAGTGTGTACAAGATATTTCGATTGCATTGAATTGAAATATTCATGAGAAGGTGAAATTATCAATTGTAAATGCAATTTACAAACGATAACTTGATTTGTATATCATAAATATAGACTTGGTGCACTTAGAATTTTATTTGGTTATGATGGAATATTTTAAAAGCACGTAGTTTTACTGAATATTTTCTTAGCATTGTTCCAGTATAAAGTGTAGTTAAAGGTGCATGGAAATGAATGCTGTAAGTGTGCTGCTGGGGTACAAAAATAACACCAACAAGGTGAAACTTTGTAAATTGCACTAGCTAGCGTTAAACTTGTATTTGGAACTGGAAGAGTAACCAGAAAGAGGTGATGAAAGCATTAGTGGATTCTAGTCAGAAGTCTAGGTTGGCGTTTGCTATCCCGAGTCAGTTCATTTGTGTAGGAACCAGTTTCGCAGTTTCAAACCTATTCTTTCCTACTAGATCTAAGCTCTTTCTGTGCAATAACCAGACACTAGTGAAAGGAATGAGACTATGTCAGAGTGTAAGTTCTGTGTGTGTGTGTGTGTGTGTGTGTGTGAGTGCTAACTGTTGTCATGGGAATGGTAGCAGTTGGCAGCCGGTCAAGTAGAGATCCAATGAAGAGGACCAAGTACCTGTGAGATGGCATGGTCCTCATGTATCTGTAACACCTGTGGATGATTGTGGATAAATGAGGATCAAGCCATCTTCAGATGTTACAGATACATGAGGACCATGCCATCTCACAGGTATTGTGGATAAATGACGACCAAGCCATCCACAGGTGTTACAGATACACGAGGACCATGCCATCTCACAGGTATTGTGGATAAATGACGACCAAGCCATCCACAGGTGTTACAGATACATGCTATATGCATGGGCGTCCTCTGGGAAATGAGAAACATATTTCTGTATTCATTTAGTATACATTCTGTGGATGCTTATGGTTTTGTGGGTGATGATTGTTTTATCTCCATGGGTCTGAAATTTAGTTTTAGAAGAGGACATTGTTGTGACTGGAAAATTACACAATGTTCAACCTACACAACCTGTCGAACTTCTGACTAATTCAAATTCGCTTGACTTACAATCTTCAGTCCGAACTTTTGTATAGAATACCATATTCTTAACCTTTCTGGTTATCTTGTGTTTTCAGCTAGCCAGTGGAACTTTCATTCTCTCAGTGTGTGATTACACCTCCAAGTATCAAAGCTGTAGGACATCATGAAAGATAAAGATGGAGGAAAGGTGACTTCAGTTTTGGCTGCTCCAGACAAAGGGCCTGACAGAGCATATGAAGCGTCTTAAACTGAAACTAAAGTTATCATAAATGATTTTGGTGTGGTTTACCAAGCTTAACTTGTAAATACCAGGGAAATGGTAGTAACCAAAGAAGTTTTACACGACAAAATATTCAAGATTGTAAGACGATTGAATCATTATAACAAACTTAGACTGGGGTATTCATTTTCTGCAAGAGATTAAAGGAAAGTCAAAGTGTGCATCAATTTAGTCTTGAATTTGTGTATAGAGTGATATGGCATTATAGTAAACCAAAACAAAATTTATTGTCATTATTTAATAAGTTGTCCATTATCAGCTATTTCACAGTTTAGCCTACATTCATTCCTACTGTCACCAATATATCAAGCCACTAAATTTACTAGATGTCCACAGCAATGTCCTCCAATGGTGGGTCAGAAAGTTTTATTTTGTATTTTATCGTATTGTATATAATGTTTATTTCATCACGCATTATGTTTGAGGGTTATTTTTATATATAAGGTAAATTCTTGTAATAATATCTTGTATTCTGTATAATTTTGCTTATGTATGTATATTTCATCTGTTATGAAAAGGTTGTATATGATGTATTTTGTAATTATGTAATGTTGTGTTTTTATGAAAAGGTTGTATATGATGTATTTTGTAATTATGTAATGTTGTGTTTTATGAAAAGGTTGTATATGATGTATTTTGTAATTATTTAATGTTGTGTTTTTATGAAAAGGTTGTATATGATGTATTTT